TTGGGAATCAAGCGCACACAAGGCGGTGGTTGGACCGTAGTCCGCTCCACACTGAGTGCATGGAACTGCCCTTCGAGCCTAGTACGGCCAGGAGGACAGTACACCCCGTCCCTTTCAGCAACGACCAACTGTCTCCTGGAGCCAGTATAGACGATGTAGTGGGTAATAGACAGGTAGGCACCTTGTCTACATTTACATCAAGCGCAGCCACACCGGGGATGTCAAGCAATAGCCAATCACATGAAATGAAATGCCGAATAAAAAAGATCGAATACACCGTACGGATATGGCGTTAAATTAGCATGAAATAAATGGATAATCAAAGAAGCTATGATAGATTCAGGATGGCAGTAATATTGATCAAGACATATGTAAGAAGGAGAAAAATAGGCGAAATTAACCACCTTTAGTTCAAGCGAAATGTGCTATTTAAGAGATTATTTAGGTACACACTAAAGGGGGGTGTGAAAATACCACAAATACAAAGTAGCAAACCAATCTGAAATAAAGAAACTCAGCATACAAGCACGCGGTCAGTAAATGAAATGCAGCGTACCTATCAAGACGATGTGCTACAGCACCTTGCGCTCAACGTCGATGGAAGATACTCCATCAGCGCCTGTCGCTTCCGCATCTGTGGCTTCTTCTTCACATGCACGGGGGCTTTCTCCTGCATCTCGGTAACTGCTTTCGTGATTAGATCGCGCCATGCACGCCGATCAACCACCGATTCCCATGACCTGCAATCAAGATTAGAAAGCGATGGGGTCACTTTGATCATGTCCTGGTCTCGTAAGTTCGGTTTTCCCAGGCGCCGTTTCCTTGCACTCAGTTGCCCGTAAAGCAGCTGTTTTGGTATCCGGGTCAAATCCATACGGCGAATATGCCCGAGTCACCTCAGGTGCCTCAGCAGAATTATGCAGTCCACTGCATACACGCCATTGCGTCGGAGCACCTCCGCATCTGCATCTCGGTCGCTCCAGCCGATGCGCATAATACGGTGGAGAGAATGCTGATGGAAGCGTTCTAGATAGCGGATATCCTTCCGATAAAGCGTCCAGGTTTGGCTACAGTATAGAAGAACGGACAGCACCATAGACATATATACCAGCAGCTTCGTCCCAACAGGGAGCTAGTGGTTGTTCCACACACGGAATTCCAACTTGCCAAAAGCAACCGCCGCCTTCCATACGCGACTATGCAGCTCACACGTCATCTACTGGTCGGTTAGTACGCTACCAAGGTAGCAAAATGAAGTGGTTTCCAACACTTCCTCAGCAATCCGGATTTTGAGCAGGCCTACGGACTCCATTCCCAATGAAGGCTGGAAAAGACGAACAGTCTTGCTTGTGTTGATGGTGAGCCCGAATTGGGCGCTGTCGATGCCACAACACTAGTTATGTGCTGCAACTCATCCACACTATGCGCAAACAACGCAGTCGTCAGCAAACGGCAACATACGGATAGTTGCCTCACAGGCTAGAGTTCTCGCACCGAAACGATGGATGTTCAGTAATCCACCATCCATACGGTACTCAACACGAACACCGTAAGCACAAGCGGTATCAAAAGCACAACACATCATGGCATGGAGATAGATGTTAAACAAGGTAGGAGCTAAGATACAGCCTTGCTTCACACCAGAGACAACTGCAAAGTCATCCGAGGTCTCTTCACTCAGTTGCAGCCTCGCCCGCATACCACTGTGCAGACATTCAAGTAAACTTACAAACTTACTCGGACAACTCAATTTACCCAACACCAGCTCCAATGTCTCGCGGTTCACCGTATCAAATGCTTTAGTGAAATTAACAAACAGCGAGTACAACGGCTGGTGTCGTTCTCTACACTTTTGCTGCAACTGACGAGCCTCAAACAACAAATCGATGGTGTTGCGACCCGAACGGAATCCACACTGCTCTTCCGCCACGTTCGGTTCCACAACCTGACTGAAGAGGTGGTTGAGCATGATTCGAGCAATCATCTTGCTCACACATCTCAGCAAGTTGATGCCACGATCATTCGCGTAACATTGCTTGCTCGCATGCGTTTTATACCCTGGCAATTGTAACCCAATTGTATGGTAGCGTAATACATAAATTATTGAGGAAGGTATGGGTTGAAAAGGTAGGTTAGTTGCGGTGTCAAGAGGACAGCTCAACTGGCTCATTGCGGCTCGACACAGCTAGATATAGCAGTCTACTGAGGACAGCTCAACTGGCTCACTGCGGCTTGACACAGCTAAATACAAGTGTTCTGAGGAAAGCTCAGTTGTTCATTGTGAAGTTTGAGACGCCGCGTATTGCTGAGGTGAGCTCAGACGAACTCTGCGTAAGTCTCGTGGAGCTATGGAAGCTTCGCAGCAGTCGGTAGAGGAGCAAATGCGGAGCAACTTCGAAAGTTGTTTTGTCACCTGTCTAAAGATCGACTCAAACGATATCATATCGTCGGAGGTTGGCTTAGGGACATTCGGGTAGTCGCTTGCGAATTATCCACAGGGGTGAAGTGCTGCAAATCGGGTGTTTGGAATGATGCATGAGTGATGGAAAGCAATAAACTACAGTGATGCCCATTAGGGAAGACATTGCTCGGACTGACAGACAAGGAGAATATGCCACACGCGTCGACAGATTAGGCACATAGGTGAATATAACCACGTTCTATGATGAAGGGCCAAGTGCCAAACAGCAAATGGTAAAAATTCTCTGATTCGAAGTCAACTCTACCACACATTTTATTCATAAAAGAAGCTTTCTCCGCACTTCTAACTAACTCCTTTTGTCCGCAGGTATCAACGAACAAACTACGGAGTGATTACCGAAACCCGTCGATATCACTCTCTACACAATCCGACTGCCAAATTTGGTTGAAAACCGCCGAAATATCGACTCGTTAACACTTTACTTATGGACGGAGTGAACGCAAACTCTTCTTAACGACCCAGTGCCTTAAGCTGCTGGCTAGTTGGCATCTATCTCTAGCGGTCATGGGTCCGATCCCCATTACGGGACTGAGCACCACTGACGAGCCCCAATAGGGCGAAACGCGTCTGGTGCTTTTCTGGACTAGGCTGTGCTGCGTAGCTGGTGAACTATCGGGATGCATACCTTACCAAAATTTGATCGGATTAACCACATGGTCCGTGTCTCGAACTATCGTGATATAAACCATTATTTCTGTTTACTTATGACCCTTATTTACACCCACTGAGAGAATATCCAGCATGGAAGCAGGTCCCAAGGAAACGGTTTCATGGATGGATGATTTATCTATACTTGTTATTTTTGACAACCTCTAAAACTTCCCGAAAGATTCAGCCGATCAATTAGTCATGTCCACCAAAAGAGTTAGAGAACTGCTTTGGAAAAAGCGAGAAATAAAGCATCTAATCCTTGCGATTCCGCTGTACATCAAAAACCTTAACATCCAACTGGACTTTACCTCGCACCGAGGAGGAATATGCCGTGGTTTTTTATTTGCGACAACTTCATACTGCTCATGCAAGAATATGGTGTTATCTGTACATATATAATCTGTGCCAAATACGGACGCAGCTTCTTACGTAAACAGAAATACACCTATTATTATTATTATTAATGCCAGTTGGACACGCTGATCACTACAAGCAGTTCGGCGATGAGATCGATCGTGATTCGAGAATGCGTTTCTGTGCAGTCGTGTAGTATGCCTGACTATCAGTAATACGATAAATTGTGCCCCGTGGTTAAACGTGCTGTACTAGGTGGAGGTCGGAAAGGGAGCTTCAATAAGTCAATACCAGAGCAGACTAAATTAAACAAACTGTTCGCTATCTCGAAAAGTTTGGAATTGATTGTGAACAGATAAGCGGAAGATTTTTAGATGTAAATCGTGGGCGTTGGAGCAAGGTTGACTGTAAATCAACCTCGAACGTCGGACTTGAAATACAGCAGTCAATGAGTAACAAACTCGGCTATATTGGTATAGAAGACATCGGTACCAGTTAGGGTGCTACGCTGCTGCACGACCGCCTGCAGTCGCGTGTGAGCTAGTGATACTGTGAAGTCGCTCGCGCCACACGGGATAGAACCGGCGACTTGTGGAGTACAAGCAAGAGGTCTGAACCACTCTGCCATCAGCCGACTTGTACGGATACAGGCGCTGAGGATCGTCCCTGCTGCTGTTAGTATGGGGCCAAAGACACTGACCGACAAGGTGTCAGTATAGGCAAATGTGGATGTGTGTAATTGATAACGGTAGAAGGCATATCATATAATATAGACGAAGAAAGGAAGCGGACAATAGAGTGAAGTAATGAGCCGTACAGATGGCGTCCAAGTTACACACGCCAGCTGCAACACCATATGCGACAAAGACGAACAGGATTTCGGTGCTAAGAAACAAGATCATCTGTCGAATTGCATCGCAAGCAGAAAAGCTGCTTCATAGTCTAATGAGGCTGTCCATCTGTTCAAGCCATGCACCATTGACGGTAAGCATGGGAATAGTCAAATGTGTACCTGATTAAGTTAGTGTATGTAGAAAAGAGAAAGGACAAATTGCATTTAAATGCTGTGGTTGCTCAAATGTTCGGCACGAGTTGCATAGTCTGGAGCTATCCAACAAGGTGTTAGTATCGCAAACAACTTAGGTTACGTGATAACGTGGAAGATCTACGTCAAGAGCTTGAAGAACTTCAGAATTTCTGGGATGACGTCCTAAATTGCCCAGTGGGATTGTGAACTGGTTTGTCAATAAGAACCGGCCGAGGGAGAAATGGTTCAAGCGTGTTGATTATAATCCATGGGCAACCGATTCGAGTCGGCGTAGACGCAGGCAAAGTCATAATATCCCAGCCCGCACGCAACTGCAGCTGGTGCCGTGAGAACGAGAAGTCGGTGAAATGTTCCGAAGTAATACCAATACGTTTCCCTTTTTACCGCGTTAATGTAGACAATGGATTTGGTGTTCGACTGGAGCGGAATAAAGGAACAAGTTTGGGCACAAAAACAGGGTATTTTGTCGGAACTTTCTATTGTGGTAAAAACGGGTGGAAAATGATAAAAAAAGTAAGGCACAAAACGAAAGGCTTAGTGAGTAGTACTTGGATTAAAGCACTCAGGCCAACCCATATTTCTCAATAAGCTTGTGTGCGACCTCGAGGTATTCTTTTTTGGAATCCTCCTTGCTCATACCTATGAAACGAAAGGAGATAAAGATTAGTAAAAGAGGTACAACACTTATGTACCATGAGCAAATGCGCATACGTTAGTACCTTTGGTGTAAACTTGGACTCGGTCTGCAGTGCACGACACAACTCCAAAACAAGACGACATTTCAGTATTTTACAGACATGCCAGTTATGTTGACTGGTCGAATTCGTAGTCGCACTTATGCATGCGAATTCGCACACAAGTCTTAGGAGCACCCTTCCAATGAAGCTCCGAGGTGTTTAGAAGCACCGATGCACCTACTTCAGTAATAGCTGCGGCAAGAGCAGAAAAACGGTAAGTTGTTGCTACCTTACGTTGTGGTTGTAAGAGTTACACTAGTCTATTTCGGTACATTTAAAAAGTGGAATCGGAACGCCGAAATGCGGTGGGCCTGTGTTAAATGTGACGATGTTCGAGCAGTTGGCAGAGCGTCAAGATTCGATCCACATATTCATAGCAGGGACAGAAACTAGCTTGTTCACCACCGTATTTCGCTTATTGGGGATAGTCCCCAAAGCACAATGAATGCAACCGAAACGTGACAAATGCGTCGATGATAGACACTTGAAGCGCAAGTGCATTCCTTAAAAATCGGGAAAATTACGGATCTGCCCGAAGAGGAATGCAATTTTTCTTCATGCCATAGTACAGAAAACAATGGGGTTAGCTGGTTAATAATAGCTAAGTCACTACATTTGAACAGCTCCTGAAAAGTCCGATAGTCTTGAGTCAATTAAAGTGTCGAATATCGAAGCGAACTTCCGATTCGCTGAGTGTATCCAGTGGAGGCCAGTTGAACTGGGATCCGAACAAACTTGCTGGTTGGTGATCAGAGACCAATGCACCTCGCAAGTAACTTCACTGAGACGAGGCTACCTGAAGCCAATGGACCGAATTAGTTGGAAAAGCTTACGAGTATTTGCCAGAGAGGGCAATTATCTCTAACTTCAAGGCACACACAGACCATCAAACTTCGCGATGCTTGCACAGTCCTTACTTGAGCACCGGTTGAGAAAACGGTGCCGCTCCCTGTAATCCGATTCTGCCGGGATATCTCTGCGGCAGCCGAACAGTTCCAGATCCAAGCCTCTAAAGAGCATGGAGGTAGACCGAAGTTTGATTGAAGTGATAAATTGTCTTCTGTATACAAGTTCAGTGTTGCTCAATGCCCTAAGATGGATTGCAAATGAGTGCATCTGCCAGTGAAGACTAATAATTCGCCTGGACTGAGAAAGCAGTTAATCTGTTTTCAGTAATCTTGCGGTGCTTTGTTTAACGGACCACCAAAAACATGCAGATTTTCGCATAGACCAGTGTATGATCTGAGTCAATGAAAGTGAACCAAAAAGACTTGCAGTCCAGTACGCTGATGCGCCATCTGAAGCTCACCGCAATATGTTCAATTTGAGAAATGGGGGCGCCAAGTTGCGGAACGTTACTTCGTATGCCTGAAGTTGGTGCTGGAAAGGAACAATTGGTTGTCTTCACACAATGCGAGAAGTCCCCCTCCGTTATAGGAGCAGTCCTTATCGATCGCGTGGTGACAACCCAGGTGACGTTCGTATGGTAAAGGGCATGTGCATTGAAATAACTGGCAAAAACGACAGCTCATTTGTTAGCGTTACTCAAAAGCTGATGGATCTCCCGATAGAACTCATCCTTGACAGAGTCAGTACTACAGTAGTTGGAGCGTATGTGATGAGCATAAACAAGTCGCATCTCTCCTAGCGACGCTTGTTTATTCTACATCAGTGGTTCTCAACCTAGGGGTAATTATCCCCCAAGGAAGTAAACTTGAATTTTGCGGGGGGGGGGGTAATTATAAGCATGAGGGTTAGCTCTGTTGTTGAACAAAAGTAATAGCAAAAGCATCTGTATCAAAATATGGTTCAAAAACCAATATCTGGGTCCGATCAGAAATTTATTTGATCAGGAGGCAACATATCATTCAGAGAACAAACTGCGCACCTTGAGCGATTCCGATTCGTTCTTGCTTGATGGGTTGCAGGTGGCTGAAAATTAGCATGTTCATCGATCGAGCCAATTGGCCATGCGGCAGGGATTACGGGGCGATTCTCGCTCAGATATTTGGGCGTTTTTGCTTGACTGGCGGCAATCGATCAGCTTGCAGACGGTCGGCCCAAATCCGTTCAGCTCGCCCGTTCGATAGGCAACCAGCATGATTGATTTTGCAACTTACCACCACACTACCTAATCACTACTGATTAGTCATCATTGACTAATCATTAGTGAGTGGTCAGTGAACTAAACAATTTCCGGTAATAAAGTTTGCAACCTTACATACGAGCCTGCAAAGCAGCGCAGCTAAATGGCGCCTCTATCGGCTCGCTCGTCGATCGTTGTTCTTTTGGGTGAAATTGGAGTTGGGTGAAACTTAAGATGGAAGCAGAGCCAGATGGGTAAAGAGCGACCGAATGTTTACAAGGTAGAAGACACAAAACAGGCGATTAGCGTTCAGGACGCATCGATTCAGAGCGTTAGTGGGAAGCTGTTATCCAGGAACGACCTGGAAGTGATGATTGAAAAAAAGAGAAAGCTCTGACATTTGTGCATGTTTCATCAGGGATCACATATCGAATGGACTTGGAGCGACTTACGATGTGCATTAGTCGAAATCGTACCAAATATACCATAAATTGTTTGAAGTAATAATAAATAATAATAATGTGTCAGCTGTACGCCGTAACGGCGTTTCGCTGCCGCGCGACCACCACCAGTCGCGCTCAGGCTGAGTATACCGCGATGACGCTCACCCCTACGCGGATTCGAACCGGTGACCTCATGGTTGCAAAGCAAACGTGCAGACGACTCGGTCACCGGCCGAGTAAGAAATATTAATCGTGTTAGTAACGCACATCCCCTCATGAGTTAAAAATTGTTTAAAAACGTTTCCTTTACTTAAATGATCGAAAGTAAGTAAAAACGGTATTCACTGTCTGTGACTCAGAGTAAAAAATATAGCAGTTAACAAGTAGCTAACAAACCAAACTTTTTTGTAGGGGTAATTATTTACAGTGAACCCGCTTCGTGGGTAACAGCCTTAAAACGGTTGAAAATCACTGTTCTACATAAACTCGGAAGCCGAACTGCACACAGGCGGCTGTTAAGTGAAAACCAGTACATCAGTGTGGCCTCAGCCCTGTTACTTGGTGCTACCCATACACCAGCCAAACCCGCTGAGACTGCAGGTTATAACTGGCTTCGTGGATGGTAGAGGATGTCAGCGTACGAACAGTGCTGGTGACATGCGATCGGGTTTCGGAAGGGCAGCAGACGTCAACATCGAGAGACTTTAGCGTGCGAGTTAGACCCGCTTGCTGTCTAATCTGCATGAGTATTTGTACGTTGAAGCACACCAGACGGAACGGGGATCGAGGTTGAAGGAGAGTCACAGGTTAAAATACAAGATTCGCGGTACAATCGGAATCGCAGGTAGATTCATGAAGACAGGAATCAAGTATCGGATAATAAGGATTGTTAACAAACAGACAATTGACGTGTGACGAAGTCGAGTAAATGTAAGGATCAGAAACAGTAGTCGATGAGCACATCGTAGAACGGTTAATGGTAATTTGTTAGGCGTTATACTACCCGGATGGCCGGAGTTGATTTAAGGGACCCCCACCAAGAGTCCTTGGTTAAATAGCAAGCTCGCCAGGCAGCGGGGCGAGCTCAAGGGATCGCGCCCACTGGGAATCAGTGACTGATTGCTCAGTTCATATGCCTTTCGTTTGGTGGGTTACCAAATGGGGACCCAGTCCTCCCCAGGAGTTCAGAAAGGTGGTGCTGGATTACAATGCTCCACTGGAGTGAAGCAAGGGTCAGTGGCTATTTAGAGGCGAGTCACATCCGTCACGCCGCAGTTGTTAAACACACATGTGGCTTCTTATAGTGAGAACACTTGCCAAGTGGAAACACACAACGTCCTGGAACACTGCCACCTAACCATTGGCTGGAACAGGAGGATCCAGAACCACCTAATTGCCACCATGAGGAGGCGGTTTGGCAAGCCAGCCTATTGCTCACGGTTATCTGAGCCAATCAGATTCGCAAATGCACATATTCTGTGGCCACTCTGTGGCGTGTACGAATGGGGTCAGCTTGCGTAGACTGCGCTTCATTATCTTTAGCTGCTATCACTGTCATTGGATAATCGTTCTACGCCACCCAATGCGGAATTTTCATTTTTCAACAAATTACTTCATTGTGGCCAAGGTAAAAGTAACTGGATTAAGAATTGCACCTTTACGCACAGCGCCGGCTTGAACTGGCGGGCGTAGACAGCTTCAGCAACAGATAGGAGATGCTTGCGGAATCCGCGAGAGAAGCTCACAGAGCCTGCAACGATAGAGCTATCAGAAGACCTCGCTTCACATCTGTAAGACCATCTTGGGATGTGGTCGCGAATCCTATGAGATAGGCACCTCGCATACGTC